CTCTTTCTGCACGGTGCTTGAGTGCCTGACGGAACTAATCAGAATCTAGTAAATTACTGTGATTATAGCATATTGCCATTGTAACAAAAAAAGTTAAACAAAGTTGTTCAAAGCGTTGAACGCTTAGTCGCGGAAAAGAAAACGGGTGAATATTGAGGTCACGGAATCTTTCTGAGCACAGTGGAAGCGTTATCTATCGAGAACACCCCAGCTGCTATATATTACCAAACTTTTGATGGACGCCTACATAAAGTCGCTAGTATTTCTGGAGGACAACAACTCTGCCTAAACGTCATCAGGTGGGGTCCGCCTCCCAACGAGAGATCGAGAGGCGGAGGGCGAGAAACAGTGGCGTACAGTGAAAAGGCGTCGCGAGGAATCCTCCAGTAGTGATACGGTGAACATGGTGCGACACCTCGTTCCTCTTATTCTCTTCCTCTTCGCATTATCCTATCAAATTCAAAGTGCTGAAATTTCAGTACGAATTGAGAGACACTTCCCGTGTTCGGCCAGTTCAGGTACGTTTTTAGCTAATATTCTATCATTCAGTCAGCGATCTTAACGCCGTTTATTTCCACTGTCTCGTCTCCTTCAAATAGTTTTTCTTCATCTTACTTTAACGATCGATGAAGTGAATAACGATGTCAACGTACTTTTCTATGGAGCCGTTTCGCCGAGTTCGTCCTTGATTTTGATCAACGTCTTATCTAGTACTTTTCATCAATTATTGGTTTTTATTTGGAGGGTGGGAACGCAGAATAGATTACATTTATGATTTTTCCTGAGACCTAATTCGACAATATTGTACAGCTCATTTGTATGCTCGTATTAGACATTGCATACCATCACTTTTTTGTAATTAGGGTCAGGTTATCTGCAGTTAACTACGGAGTGCAGGTTGCTTCCTCGCATATTTCCAGCGCTGCCATTTATGGACAATGTGTCCATTTTTGTTAAATGTATAATGCACATTGGCTAAAACTGCATTTATTTTATTTTTTCTAAAATAATATATCAACGAATCAACACAAGCATTTGATTTTTTCAAGTTGGCAAACTTTCTTCTTTCTTTATGAAAAATGTTCAGTTGTAGTAAGAAAGAGGAGCATTTTAGTTTAACCAGTACCTAGTGTGAAAATAAAACAGCATTGAGTTAGATTTGCCTAAGAAAACAATAGAAAACTCTACATAAGGGTATTTTCTTGTCCCGACTGAATCAGCGCATTGCGTTGACCCATTGATGCGAAACATTAGTGTGTGACCTCGAAACAGGATTCCGCTATTGCAAGTCGCTCGATTCCAGATTCGCTCCAATACTTCGATCCGATCAGCTCCTTACGTCTCCCCTAAAAAGCCCTCAGCACTCTCAGCAGAATAATAATGCAAGCCATTAGGTGAACTGCTTTTAGGCCCGAAAAAGGAGAATCTCCTTATCAAATTCCCTTCATACAAGACCGCTGGCGTGGAATTTCATGAAGAGACAAATGCTCAGGGACACAAATGTTTCCGAATGAGCGGTGGAAAAGTAGAGGTTGGTCCAATCGATGTGCTCTTGTTGCTGTCGTGAACCTACAAACATTATCGACGTTACGCGCCAAAGTTTCCTTATGCGCCTATTTTAGACATTGAGAAATTAGATTTGAAATACTGTCGATTTCTGTTTCCCAGGTTTTCCCTCCGGGATTGTCGGGATCCAAAAAGTACTATGTTCATCTTGAAACTCGCATCGGTATCCATGGAAAGCCCGAGAGATGCGTAAATGCCGATAGCAAAGGATGTGGTGGAATTGGATCATGGTCTGACATAATCGCTCTATGATTGAACTAGCTTAATTCAAACTGTGCTTTCTTGAGATCTCCTTTTTCAGTGTTCATTGCGACATTTGCGAAACGATGGGTGGTTCACTAAAGAATTTTGTCCAGATCTTTCAAGGAAATAAACCAGCGCAATGCTCTAGTGAGGTTAGAGAACTTTAATTGAGTTACAATTACTGACTTATCGGAGATGAGGTGGAGTAAAACGACTCATCGATTATCCTGAAGAATGATTAAGTTCACTACGCATCTACATTCTGCAATAAGGTATTGTCGAGAGAAGTAGAAGA